ATGTCCCCATGAGGTCCCTGATGTCCGTGTGAGGTCCCCGATGTCCCCATGAGGTCCCCGATGTCCCCATGGGCTCCCTGATGTCCCCATGGGCTCCCTCATGTCCCCATGAGGTCCGTGATGTCCCCGTGCGGTCCCTGACGTCCGTGTGAGGTCCCCGATGTCCCCATGAGGTCCCCGATGTCCCCACGGTGTCACTGACGTCCGTGTGAGGTCCCCGATGTCCCCATGAGGTGCCCGATGTCCCCGTGGCGTCGCTGGCGTCCCCGCGATGTCCCCGGTGTGCCCGTGTCCCGCAGGCGTTCCCGGTGCTCGTGGGCGACATGGACAACAGCGGCAGCCTCAACGCGCAGGTCGTGCAGCAGCTGGGCGCCCGCCTGCGCTCCAAGGTGGCCTTCCAGGTGCGTCCCCACCGGGGGGGGACACGGGGACACCCCGAGGTCCCCGCGTCACCCCCCGTGTCCCTCAGACCCAGCAGGCCAAGTTCGTCAACTGGCAGGTGGACGGCGAGTACCGCGGCGGGGACTTCACGGCGGCCGTCACGCTGGGCAACCCCGACCTGCTGGCCGGCTCCGGTGAGACCCCCGTGTCACCCCGTGTCACCCGGTGTCACCCAGCGTCACCCAGCGTCACCCAGCGCCACCTGTTGTTGTTACTGGGTGTCGCCTGGTGTTCTCTGGTATCTCCTCTGGTGTCCCCAAGTGTTTCTCAACTGTTCCTGACCTCTTAGTGGGCTCTGGTGAGACCCCCATTGTCACCTGGTGTCACCCTGTGTCACCTGGTGTCACCCAGTGTCACCTGGGGTCACCTCTTGTCACCCGCTGTCACTCGTTGTTGTCACTTGGTGTCCCCTGGTGTTCTCTGGTATCTCCTCTGGTGTCCCCAAGTGTTTCTCAACTGTTCCCGGCCTGCTGGTGGGCTCCGGTGAGGCCCCCATTGTCACCTGGTGTCACCCCGTGTCACCCCACATCACCCAGTGTCACCTGGGGTCACCTCATGCCACCCCATGTCACCTGGCGTTGTCACTTGGTGTTCCCTGGTGTCAACTGGTATCACCTTTGGTGTCCCCAAGTGTCCCTTGAGTGTTCCCGACCTGCTGGCCGGCTCCGGTGAGACCCCCATTGTCACCTGGTGTCACCCAGTGTCACCCAGTGTCACCTCTTGTCACCCGCTGTCACCCGTTGTTGTCCCGTGGTGTCCCCTGGTGTTCTCCGGTATCTCCTCTGGTGTCCCCAAGTGTCCCTCGAGTGTTCCCGACCCGCTGGCCGGCTCCGGTGAGACCCCCGTTGTCACACGGTGTCACTTCGTGTCATGCGGTGTCACCTCATGTCACGCAGTGTCACCTCATGTCACCTGGTGTCACCTGCCGGTGTCACTTGGTGTCCCCTGGTGTCCCCTGTGGTGTCCCCAAGTGTCTCTTGAGTGTTCCCAATGTGCTGGTGGGCTCCGGTGAGACCCCCTCTGTCACCTGGTGTCACCCCGTGTCACCTGGTGTCACCCAAGTGTCACCTGGTATCCCCCAGTGTCCCCATTGTCCTCTGAGTGCTCCATGGTGTCCCCTGGGATCCCTTGATGTCACCTCTGGTGTCCCCAAGTGTCTCTCGAGTGTCCCCAAGTATCCCCTGGTGTCCCCCAGTGTCCCCTGATGTTCCCCAGTGTCCCCTGGTGTCCCCACGTGTCCCCAGGTGTCCCCAAATGTCCCCCGCTGTCCCCTCTGGGTGTCCCCCACAATGTCCCCACAGTGGGTCAAGGGTCCCAAGATGTCCCCAAGCGTCCCCTGACATCCCCTTGGTGTCCCCAAGTGTCCCCTGACATCCCGCTCATGTCCCCAGGTGTCTCCAAGTGTCCCTAAATGTCTCCCAATGTCCCATTGGGTGTTCCCCAACATCCCCCGTGATGTCCCCACGTGTCCCCCCGACGTCCCCATGGTGTCCCCAAGTGTCATTAGATGTTCTCAAGTGTCTCCTGACGTTCCCCAGATGTCCTTCATTGTCCCCAAGTGTCCCCAAATGTCCCCCAATGTCCCGTTGGGTGTTCCCCAGTGTCCCCCAGTGTCCCCGGCTGTGTCCCCACGTGTCCCCCATGATGTCCCCATGGTGTCCCCAAGTGTCCCTGGATGTCCTCAAGTGTCTCCTGACGTCCCGCAGGTGTCCTTCAGTGTCCCCAAGTGTCCCCAAATGTCCCCCAATGGCCCGTTGGATATTCCCCAGTGTCCCTCAATGTCCCCATGGTGTCCCCACGTGTCCCCACCATGTCCCCATGGTGTCCCCGAGTGTCCTTAGATGTTCTCAGGTGGCTCCTGACATCCCCCAGGTGTCCGTGAGTGTCCCAGGTGGCCCCAGGTGGCCCCAAATGTCCACCAATGTCCCATTGGGTGTGCCCACAATGTCCCTACGTGTCTCCATAATGTCCCCATGGTGTCCCTAAGTGTCCTTGGATGTCCTCAAGTGTCTCCTGACATCCCCGAGATGTCCTTCAGTGTCCCCCAGTGTCCCCAAATATCCCCCAATGGCCCGTTGGGTGTTCCCCAGTGTCCCCTGTGATGTCCCCATGTGTGCCCATGGTGTCCCCAAGTGTCCCTAGATGTCCTCAAGTGGCTCCTGACATCCCCCAGGTGTCCCCAGGTCTCCCCAGGTGTCCCCGAATGTCCTGTTGGGTGTTCCCCAGTGTCCCCTAATGTCCCCATGATGGCCCCATGGTGTCCCCAAGTGTCCTTAGATGTTCCCAAGTGTCTCCTGACATCCCCCAGGTGTCCTTCAGTGTCCCCAAATGGCCCGTTGGGTGTTCCCCAGTGTCCCCTGTGGTGTCCCCAAGTGTCCCTAGAAGTTCTCAAGTGTCTTCTGATGTCCCCCAGATGTCCTTCAGTGTCCCCCAGTGGCCCCGAATGTCCCCCAATGGCCCGCTGGGTGTTCCTCAACGTCCCCTGTGTGTCCCCACGATGTCCCCACGGTGTCCCCACACGTCCCGTGGTGTCCCCGTGGTGTCCGCAGGCATCGTGGTGGCGCACTACCTGCAGAGCGTGACGGCGGCGCTGGCGCTGGGCGG